GGAACAGGCAGAGAAAATGCTGCCAAGGTTGCTTATATGGAGTTAGCAAAATGTAAGCATTCTTTTGCAGGCTAATAGATGTTTGTCGTGACTTGTGAGATTAACTTAACTATGACATTTTAATGCAGTTGGAAGACTATCAAAAAGTATACTTTTGTAGAGTAAATTGACATCTTTCCCAATTTCAGGCAAATCCTTCCATACGAGTTATCCTTTGACTGTGTCCTCGGACTTGGAAGGTGAAATTTTCAAAACTGAGAGTTGCTTGGATTCACTGTCTATTTCTCATTCAGCTGCGACATCAACTGTGAAAGATGTTCACCAGCCTGAAGAAAGCAAAAGTAATTCTTGTTTTGGTGTCTGTATGAAAGTGTCCCCTAATGCTTATTTACTTTATACTATACTGCTAGGACAACTAACTTTCAATAATTTCAGGAAAGACTCATCAGCTAGGTGACTCAACTATATCCTCGGAAACAAAGGATGAGAAGCTCAGTTTTTCTCCTTGTGAAAGCTTGCTTTCCGTTGCTAAAAAGCGAGGAAACCCCACGGTTGGATGTCCGCCAAATTCAACTTCAGTTTTGATGAGTTTTGAGGTGGAGGATGAAGAAAAAGAAGGTAGTGTTCAACGTTTTCTGCACCATGTACTCATTCTGTCTTCATATGAATGACTAAGTATTTGTGCCTTTGGCAGATGAAGAGATGGTTCACTCTAAACATGCATCTGCACAGTCCATAGGTGCTGAAAAGTTTAATGCATCTTCACTTTTGCGGAGCGTGCATGAGCTCAGTGTAAATGAAAATTCACCTTCTTCAATGGAATCAATGGTCCATTTACCTAAAGAAACTATATCATCAGCTGCAATGGCACCAACCCATTCCTCTACTGTATCGAATGCAAATTCTAGCGCGAGAAAGACTGCAGAAACCAAAAGTTACCTCCTTTGTAACAGGGTCACAGTGTACAAATCCATTCCAGATGAAGTCCCCAAGGGTACTATTGTGCTTCCTATTGGTGAAGATAAGTGGGTTGTTGTGAACTTGGAATTCCCCAATGAGAAAGTGTAGCTAATTAAGTACTACAGTAGATACATGTTACTTACATTTATCCTCCTCTTAAACATAGAGGCTAAACTGAAACAAGGATGACTATAGTGTATCTATTTAAGGAACTTCTCTGTAATATTCTCTGAAACATAAAAGTGCTGTTTTGGAAGTTAAGTTGGCTATTAATATGATATAAACAGTTTAAGTCTTTATTTATGCCCCTAGTTATTCCTTTATATCTGTTTAGTTGTGATTGCTGTGTTCTTCAGGATTAGGTGAACTGTGAACAAAGCATGATTTTGGGCATGGACATTCGTCCTGTTCCTACTGTTGGTCTGGTCTAATTTTTTTCACTCTCTCTCTCATGTGGTGATATGCATTAGCTGTTCCATGTACAACAATCTTTACATGCGATGATAGATCAGATACACTTGCACTGGAGACGGATCATTGCATAATGTGCTTGCATATATTTTTGGATTAGCAATCCAATTGACAATGATCATCAGTAGATAATCTGTTAAGTAGCTGCTCAAACGTGAGGTTGCACGCTTTTGTGCTCTTACTAATCTATATGTTGTCTCTCCCTCCTTTCTTTCTTTTGGCGAATGCAAGACGATGTGCTGGCTTTTCACTGAGCTCTAGCGGTTCTTCCTTTATCTTCGATGTTTTGGAGTTGGCAAATTCTTGTCATATGACTAAATGCATGTTTGAGTATTCTTCTTCTTTAAGTTGCATTTCCATTATGGTCTAACAGAATAACATTTACTTAAATAAGTTCATATCTTAACTGCTGCTTGATGGTTACAGGCCTCAGATGCAAATTTTCTGATTCCTGATCCCATTTCCCCTTATAATAACCTTTTCTGCTTTATTTGCCGAGTTAAAAAAATGAGCACTTAGGACTTTTGGATTTGGTCATTTGCTCTCCCCTTTAGTGACAACAAATGAGATACAAACCATTTTACCTCATTAGCACTTATGATTTGTTCAAATGATGTTTTTAGATTATACCAACTGATACGCGGCGCCTTCCTGAGATTCCTTGGAAGGGCAACGTACGGCTAGGCAACTGATGTCAGTTCAGTTGCTGTCCGCCAACTGAGGTCCCCTCCGTACGCTAGACGAGATTGTCAGTGCCGTACGGGAAAACCAATGTCAAGAGCAATTGAGAGAACAGAAATGAGAATTCAGAATGAAAGAAAGCTTGATTGCATTAATGAAAGCTATTACAGAAAAGCAACGCGGTTATAAATTGATTGATTACAGTTTAGAAATTGAATGTCATAGCTGGGAGGAAATGCAAATATCCCAACAAGATTTAGGCTACAGAAAGTCTAGTTTCATATCTTCAGCTTTGTTCGCAGACTTCATCATGTTGGCAACATAGAGGCTGATACCAAGAACCAACAGAGCCACTAGTGTCATTTTCATCATTCTCCTTGGCTTCTTCAGGTTTGCAGCCAAACGACTGGAATTTCTGGTCGTTTCATCATCAGTCGATCCATTGTAAGAACTACTTGAACTACTTTTATCTGTTGAAGATTTTTCTGGAAGATTTTTAGCTTCTGTTTGCTCACTGGTTTTAGTACTAGTGTAGTTTCGTTCTTCTTTAGCAGGGGTATTATCAGCATTATCCTGCTTAGTAAATTCATCTCTTAAAGATGTTTTATGTCTTTTAGCAGGGGTACTCTCAGCTTCTGTGGCTGGCAATTCCGTATCCTTTTTCACTGCTGAAGTTATTAGTTTTGGCTGTTTAACATGAAGAACGCCATTTTCAAACTTCGCACTGATTTTGCTTTTGTCACAATTTTCTACAGCAGGAAAGTCCTTGTGAAACCTCTGCCATTTGTTCTGCCCAATTGGCCTTTGTCCGCTAATCTTCAGAATTCCTGTTCTTGTAAGTTGAACCCTCAGCTGTTCCTTCTTGAAACCTATGGAATTTCAATCTTTATAAGTATATGAAATCAATATGTTCCAGATAATTTTTAAGGTTACCTATGAAAATTATGAAGAAAATAACCACAATCTCACTACATGACTTCTCAGATATCTCAGGTGTCATAAGGCATGAAAATAAGTTACTGTGAAATTTGACATTTTCATCCAATTATGAACATTTCATTTAGAGAATGTTAATGTTATGCAGAGCATAGTGAAAAAATCTCATCTAGAAGTTTAGCAAAATATTATTTTTAAAGATTCCCCATAATTTCTCATAGTATATTCTTTTTAAAATGCGCACCCGCTGCTTTTAAATTCTGAATCATTTATAAATTACTGTCCAACTAGAAAAAAAGACAAATGTACTACAAGCGTCGTGTTGGTGGGAGGAGGAGAGAAACGGATAATCAACGACGATAATAACAACTACTATGCCTCAATTCCAAGCAAGTTGGAGTCGGCTATATGAGTCCTCACTCTATGTCGCTATTATATAATCTTATAACTTATTAATAACAGGAATGAACAGAAGAACAGCACCTGGAAGATTAAGTTGAAGAGTGTCAAAGTGGTCTTCTTGAACTAGCTTTGATGTTGGCATAAAATCTTCATATATTTGAGTTGGTGTAGCAGTTGCAGCTCCTTTTGAATCCATTTTCTGTGTTCTTTTCTTTCTTTTTTGGTAATATGTAATCTTTTATCCTTTGTTCTTTGTTCTTGTTGATGGAAAGGATGAAGCTTGGAGGTTATATACACACAAAAGAGAACTTTCTTGAGATGCTTTCTGTTTTCTTTCAAAATACATATTCCTTAACTAATTTCCATTACTTTGTTTATAAACCTGTTCTTTACTCTACAGGGTTTCCTTGTAAAATTATAAAGCTTGAGAAGAACTCCTAATGAGGAAACATCAAGTGTAGGGGCAAACTTTTAAGAATTGGTAAATGGGGATATAGAAAGTTTATAATTTGTTACAAGGGAATGGCAACTAGGGGTGCTCATAACCGAATCGAACCGAAACCGAAAACCGAACCGCAAAAGTGACTTAATAGCTTATTGGTATCGGGTTATCGGTTTAACGGATGAAGAACAGATTGAAATTTAGTACTTAATTAAAATATGAAGTAAATCTCTAATTATCAAATCTCACTTTCTTCGGAAGAGATTTCTTTCTTTTTCTGTCATAAAGATCTCAAAATTACTAGTCATGTCTTTTACTAGATTACAAGTTTCTATTTTAATACTTTTTCGCTGTTCTATCTATGACTTTTATTACCTCTACAATTTGGTCCTTTTCATTTTTATTCTTAATTTTTCTTTTTCCTTTTTTGGTTAAAACATTTTACTCGTCCTTTGATTTTGTCAATAACTTTGACTAGAAAAGTGGCTTTCACTTATAACTCTGAGGAGTGTTTACTTCTTGTTTAGCAGCTCATGTCCTAACGGTAAAAAAGTTACTTTGAACGTTTGGATACGCGACCTATACTTTGAACACATTCTCAAATGGTAACATAACATAACAAGAGCATTTGGAATATATATTGAACATATATCTTTTAAAGTTTAGTTTTGTTTCATACTTGGGTCTGCTACTCTAGAGAGAAGCTCTGACTTCTTTCTAACCTACTAAGAAAGAAAAAGCCTTCTTCTTCATTTATTCATCCTCCAATGGAAGCGGATTTTCCTGCCACCGAAACGGTCCTAGCAATGATTCCCCCTAAACCGCCGGACATTACCATTAATAATAATGCTTTTCATCCTCAAGAAAACTCACCTATCTCATATAAGGATAAACTAATTAGAGGGGAGGGAGATATGGATATCACCATCGATCCTCTTGAATCCTTACCATCTACATCCTTGGACACTTCAATCGTGGATTCTCTAATGACACTGGAAAAAAAAAAATTACCCTCTCACAAGAGGATAAAGTCCGCATGTATTTACCTTGGAAAAGCTCAATTATTATCAAACTCCAAGGTAAAAGAATTCTTCATCAAATACTAAAGAAAAAGTTTCAAGATCTGTGAAAAATAAAGGAAAAATTTCCCTTAATTGACCTTGGGGAGGACTACTATATTGCAAAACTACATAACAAAGAAAACATGCATTCAATCATGCAAAATGTCCCATGGTTCATCTTTGGACATTTTTTATCATGTCAAACATGGGTACCAAATTTTGTGCCATCAGAGGCAAAACAATCCTACACTGCAATTTGGCTCCGTCTCCCAAACCTTCCAACAAAATTTTATGATAGCTTTATCCTTCAAAAGATTGGAAACTCAATAGGCAGGCTACAAATAGATGCTTGCACATCAGCAACCTTAAGGGGTCAAAATGCCAGGATGTGTGTGGAATTACCCATGAACAAACCGGTGGAAAAATTTATTTACATTGATGATCGTAAACAGTCCATAGAGTATGATGGTGATAAATTTCTTTGCAAAAGGTGTGGGTTCCTAGGCCATACCCATGCAAATTGTTCACGCCCATTAAAGCCTATGTCAGAGAATACTATTGATGAGAAGGCAGTCCCAAGCCACAATGAAGATGCAGAGTCACACATGCCTCAAGTGGATAATGGCTGGTAAACAGTGACCTTCCAAAAGCCTAGGAATTCAAGCAAACCAGCACCAATGGTGGACAAAGGAACTCCAGTAGAGGCAGGTATAAGCGTCAAATTATTTAATGCTTCCACAGGTAAGTACATCAACACTAAAAAGTTTAAGTATGTTAGTAAGGATAATTCTACCATATCAAATTACCATAGCAATAAATCTTATGCCCAGGAAACCAATCCTAAGAAAAATTCGAATACTGATAATCCTAAAGGCTTTCTTTTGGAAAATCGCTTTTCCATGTTGCACCAACAGCCCATGGTTTTACAAAATAATAATCTGAATAATTATAAATTGTTAATGGAAAATAAAAACACGTTGCATGCCTCTATTAGGAATTTAGACACTTCTAGTAAAAAATCTCCTACTGATTCTACCATATCTTCCTCCACATAAAACAATTCTAGCAATAATACCCTACCTATGTCATACCAAGACATGGTTTTGCCAGACACCCCTACCACTACCCCTCTAAACCCCTCCATTACCGTGTCTAATCCCCCCAATAACAATCTTCGCATGTCTCAAAAATCTATTCTCAATGGCCAAATGGAAGATGGCATGCAACACGTACCACCAAATTTGCATGCAAAATCTTTTATTATATCACCTACGCTAGACCATCCAATTTGCATGCACTTAGACACAATCATTCCCTCCTCCCAATCCCCTCCTATTTTAGTTAGTAACAAATACTCTGAAAATTCCCAGACTTCCCCTTCACAACCGGAGAAGATACCGTCTCATTCAAATACTCCGTCAATAACATCCATCCAACATGAACAACCTCCCACCATTACCCCCACAAATCCAGAATCCTCCACTAATTTTTGTCCAACCTCCACTACCACAAGACCACCACCCCATGTCTTGGATAGAAATAGGTCTAATGGGGAGGGGACTAGTTTTCAATGCCACAATCAATGGCCAAGAGAGTGTGATCTTGATTCAAAATCCAAGATACCTAGCACAATTAGTGGCCGGGGGACTCCATCTTGCAATGAGCAACTACTGGAACCATGTGTGGGTGAACAATATTTTACAACCACTAGCCCCACAATTAAACCAAAACCTAGTGGAAGAAATGAGAGCCCATTGGAACCTCCCTCCTCACTTCAACCCGGTTCCAATCCTCCCTCAGAATCTAGAGTCGGACCTTCCCTTCTTTCCCCCAGAAGCACTCACTGCCATCAACCCTATTTTGATGCCTTGGGAGGCACCAAATCAAGCTCCACCCCATCAACCGCAACCCCAACCACAGAATGTAAACATACAAATGCCAATGGAGGAAATGAATCTCAACCCTCCAGTAGCTCTAAATTAGGCAATCCAATAGAAGAAGAAGTGAACGAGCAAATAGACTTAGTGGGGGAATCACTGGAGGAATTGTCAAACCTAGACGAGGTAAAAGTACTTCTATTCAAGGAAGCACTAGAGAAGAGGCACATACTCACTTGCTCTCCAAACTTTCTCAAATGTTCAATGGACATTCGTCCTCCTCACGACCCAACAGTGGGCAATAGGGCAATGATTCTAGTCCCCACCCTGAGAAGGAGCTCAACAACCCCTAGGGACTTGTTCTTTAATGGTCACTCACACACACAAGATTTTACCATGACTAGTCCAGTTAATATAATAATTTGGAATAAAAGGGGGGGGGGGGATAATGAAGACTTTAGAAGGAATTTTAAGGATCTAATGATGCAACACCACTCAAGTGTGGTGACACTGCTTGAGACAAGAATGCAATCCCATGGGTCTCTTCTTAACGAGTTTGGTTTCTCCGATATGATTGAAGTTCCTGCGGATGGCCAAGCAGGTGGAATGGTTGTTCTATGGGACAATGCCAAGGTGTTTGTGCACAATTTTGTGCGTAGAAATCAGGAGATCCATGCAACAATCGAGGTACGTCCTAGTAACTTCAAATGGCTATTCTCTTCAATATACGCTAGTACAAACGTTAGCTCTAGAGATATTATGTGGAATAATATTAGAAGTATCTATGATAATTATAAAGGGTCCTGGATTGTGGGAGGGGACTTTAATGACATTCTTAAAGCAAACGATAAATTAGGGGGAAGATCTCTAAGTCATAGGCGTGCATATAAATTATGGTCTAATCTTAACTACTATAATCTACTTGACCTAGGCTATAAGGGAAGTAGATTCACATGGTCAAATAATAGATTTCATAACAATAGTCTAATTATGGAACGGCTCGACAAAGTATTTGGCAATGAACAATGGATCCAAATTTTTCCACATGCTTCCATAACTCATCTACCTAAAACTCACTCAGATCATAATCCGTTACTCTTAAATCTTATCCCTAAGCAATGCACTAACCTTCAAAAGCCCTTTCGTCTTGAACCATTTTGGTGCAAGCATCCTCAGTTTAGGAATCTAGTTGCTTCTGCATGGTCTAGTAACCATTTTGTAACAGCTTCTTCCTCCTTTATATCCCTAGTCAATACCTGGAAGAATAATACCTTTGGTGACCTCAAACGAAAGAAAATAGAATTTTAGCTAGGCTCAGAGGTATTCAAAATTCCACCTCTTATTATTCTAGTTCTTTTCTTCAAAATTTAGAAGCCACTCTAAGAGTTGATTATAGTAACATCTTAGAAATTGAAGAGGACTACTGGAAACTCCGATCCAGAATCCAATGGCTCAATGATGGAGATGCGAATACAAAATTCTACCACATTATGGCCACTAATAGGAGAAGAAAAAACAAAATAGTTTTCTTTAAGGATGTGAATAACAATTGGATAGATGATCCGCAGGCCATCCTTAATCATACTAGGGATTATTTTAGTCACATGTTCACAACCTCTCATACCATTAGTGACTGGAACTCTATAAAGTCTGATCCAAGAAGTTACAATAAAATAGACTTATCCCCTCTAGATAATCCTCTCACAAATAATGAAATTATCCAAGCCTGCTTCTCTTTTAAACCCTACAAAGCTCCAGGACCGGATGGGCTTCACCCCTTTTTCTTCCAAAATTATTGGAACATTATTGGAAACTCCGTGATTGATCTTTGTAAAAATGCCTTCACTAGTGGGAAAATTCCAGAAGGTATTAATGACACCCTCCTATGCCTCATTTCAAAAAT